AATGTTGCCAGGGGGGCTCTCACGTATTCAGGCAACTGTTGAAGGAATAAGTGTCTGAAAAGGAAGCACGGTTCGTGCGCTCCCAGTAGGGCTAACATGGAGTCCATTAATTCTGACGGCTTACGGTCTCCTAACCCCTGTAGTTTAAAGAGCGCTGATGCTCTTTCCGTATCTGACAAACTATATGCCGACAACAAAAATGTTTTCAAAGTGCTGTATTTGTTGTCTCCTGGTGGGTTTGTTAATATTGAAAGTGCCCGAGTTGCTGTGCTGTTGTCGAGGGCGGCGACAACATGATAGTATTTAGTTTCGTCTTGAGTAATATTTCGCAAAGCGAATTGCGCTTCAGTTTGAGCGAACCAAGCTTCCGCCCCGGCTGTCCAAAATGTTGGTAGTTTAATAGAAACTGCACTTACTTGACAATCCTGTTTACACATTTTGAAGGGATGGTAAAGGTTGTGACGAAAACGCAAGTCCGCTCAAATATGATCCAAAATATAATCCAAAACAGAACACACAAAGTTGAAATTGCGTTTCAACTTGTCGGGGTCACCAATGTGGTAGGTCTTTACTCACCGGAGTTTTCTACTCGATTGCCTTGTAGGACAGTCGTGTCAGGTGGTGTTTTTAGTGTGAGCACTTTGCAAGTCCGTGCGAAGTCATGATCATGTCAGCTGCTGTGTTGTGTGTTAACTGAGTGTTCGGAGAGTCACTACAACGGAAAGAAAAAAAGAGCATACCCTCCAACATATGCATTATGAGATGACAAACTAGATAAAATAAGATAGGACAGAGAAAAGATGAGGTGACCTGACCATCAATGATTCATTTATAGAGGCACCAGCCATCCATGTCCAGGTGCTGTTTTAGCCTCTTTTTCCTGTATGCGGATTAATAATTTCTTTTTGCCAATTTATTGGTTCCGCTTCTATGTACCCCATATCTATGGTTCTCAACCTGGAAATCGTCTATAATTCGCTGTAATTGCCCCCCCCCCCCCCTTATAGTGTCATCATTTATGTTACCGTCCATTTTTATCGATAACACGATTAAGGACTAAGGGCAGTATTAATGATAATTAAGGAAAAAAATGCATCAATTAAATAATGAATAAATAAATAAAGAAATGAATACATTTATAGAGTTCATTCCGTCGCTCTCTTTACTTTGCCCCAGCCTGAACGACCTACAAGAAAACACGTTTAGAGAAAGGGAAAACAACGCCTGGCATCTAGCACATCATAACTCGCCGGTCCCTGCCGCCTCACGACATAGATCACAGCACAACATGTGGTTCCTCAACTTCCTTTGGAACAAAAAAGATATAAAAAACAACACATAAACAACCCACAACCCCACACGACTCGTAAAAAAAAAAAAGCAACCCTCTCACAAACCTCTTTGCCCTCTCAACATAAAGCAGGTAGATCTAAAATACAACCCTCAGACGAGATAGCAGGCGTAGTGGTGTCAGATTAGCATGTTCGGGGGTTTGACCGCGTAGTGCATTTTACATGTATTTTCCTCACTTCACCCACGTGGGAATGGGTACCCGGCCATAGACAGCGAAGAATCTTATTATCAGTATGTTGGTGTCTTAGCGCCTACAAATGGCTGCTTGCACTGTACGCTTCCCACTTCCCAGGAAGTTGAGATTGTTTCAGAATGCTCTCAGGTCTGCAGGGGTAATAGTATAGATTGCTAAGCGCACAGAGCTTGCTGTAGAGCGGGGATTTGCACTATACAAATGCTATCTATTGTCTATTGTAATTACAACCCCCAGACCCGATAGCGCGCGTAGTGGTGTCAGATTTACTGGCGTTCAGAACTGCAGGAAATGGGGAAACTGCCTTATTTTTTCCTGTCTGTGTGAAATAGGAGAGTTATAGGGCAGTTGCGTGTGGAAATCCATAGATGGGCTATGATGAACCGTATCGATGTTCTACCTCCTGGATGGAATCACTGAGGGCTCCACTGATGATAATATGTGAGGCAGCGTGGTGTAATAAGGCTCTCGTCAATTTTTGGGCATGTAGAGTTATTGGTATAATCTTAAAGGTTGTTCCCTTGTGTTTATTCGGACGAAAAAATCATCCATTTATCTTGAATAAAAGTTGAGATATTTGCGAAAGAAAGAGGTGGGGTCACCTATTTTCAGAGGTAAAATTAGTGAGAAAATGGCTGCCAAAGATTAGTTATTTCCCTAGCTAAAGAGTCCGTGGTAACTGAAAATATATATTTTTTGTGCCTTTAAGCAACGTTTTTCATAAAAATTCACACAGAAATGAGTTATTTAATGGGCATGAAAAGTATTGAGCTAAAAACCAAAAATTTGATAAAAATTCACAAACCTGCGAAAA